AAATCATAAAGTGAATGATAAATAAAAATATATTATAAATACTTTATAAATTTTACAATCACCTACTATTACCGTAAACTTTATTATTTATTAATAATATTTAAATTTTATTTTTTATATTTTAATTTAAAATAATATTTTTCTATGCAACATATGTATTACAAGCACAACTATAATCTATTGAATCTAAATAATATTATTCTTACTATTTATTCACGTTCAAAGAAGTTTTTGAAAAATATAAATATAAAAAATTATTGTTAATTTTTTAGATAAAAAAGTATATATTTTTTTAATATACACATATATTTCTTTATTATAAAGTTTTATTATAACTATTTATCTTTTATTCAAATTCTTTTTTTTTAAATTTATATACATTATAAATATTTAATTCATTAAAATTATTTTTCAAAAATTTATATTTTTGATAAAATACTTTCGTATAATATATAAGTTAAAAATACTAGTATTAATATATATATATATATATATATATATATATATTAATTATATTATATTATTTTAATTAAATTTATTATTTTTTTTTATAATTTCAAATTTAAAAGTTAAAAAAATATTTTATGTATCTACTTTCTGTTGTTAGTATTAAATTTCTCATACTCTAACTCTATTATTATTCTCAATGTCTGTTTATTAAAACCTAACAACTATAAAATTATTTATTAGAGTTAGTTGTCAATGTCGTCACAAGAAGTCACCAAGTAATCCCATACAAAATGACAACCATAACTTGTATATTTAGTTTCGCTTATTGTTTCTAACAATTTTAGTTTAAAAAATTATTATATTAAGATACATTTAACATTTATGATATTTGAATATTTATTTTTTATCTATGTTTGTAACTTGTTCGGTAACTACATATTAAATTTTTGTATTATTATGCTACTTATGTAAAGTTATATAAACATATTTTTCTTTATAAATATTTTTTTCTCAAACAAGAGCAGGGTAATAGATACAAGATGGGTATGCAGGTACCCAGAGAGTATAAGTACGAGAATTAATGTTCATATCTACGCCGGTATGGGACCAAGTACAGGTATTTTTTTTAAAATGCGAGTACGAGAATAGGTACTATAGTACCGTACCCATTGCCATCCCAAAACCACTTTGCCTTTATTACTCCTTTTAACCCCCAATTAATTGGCCACTGCTACTGATCTCTTCCTATAATACAATGTTTCTCACATTTCTATCTACCTTATCTTACACTGCTTGAATTAATTAACTAACACGACAATAATTTGCCATGCAATTCAAATAGAATCGGCACTTGCTAACAGTGAATCTTATTTTTTGCCATGAAATTTTGAAGTGATAATTAAGTTGAGACTTTATGTTGTTGCATTTATTGTGGCCTTTGTTCTCACGATACTCCAATAAACTGTTGATTCCTGTGAAAGGAAATTCCCAAAGAGGTGCAACATGAACTGTGTTTCGAGTTCCATTTTCTTTTACATATATTTGATATCTACTTTAAGAGAATTAGAACTAAAAAAAGATAAAATTGCACTTGCCTTTTATTATAATTATAATGATTATTATAAAAAGAAAACTGATAACATATTCTTTAACAAATTTTTTTTATTAATTAATTTTTATTAAAAAGTATAAAAATTATGTAACTTTTATTCTTAAATTATTATTATTTTTTATATTAAAAAAAAAGGCGATCGAGATTGCCTTTACCTTTTCATAGAAAAGTGTTCAGAATTGAGGAGTGCCAGCTAATTCATTCACCTCTTTTGATTTGCTTTGCTGGATCCGACGCATATCAATCGGAAACCTTTCACTGAGGAACTAATGATTAAAGATTAGTTTTTTAACATGTGTGTTAATGTAGTAAACAGTACTCCTACAAGAATTAAGAGATATATTCAATTAACTTTTTTTTTTTTATCAAAAGTATCATATAATCTTTTATTATATTTATTATATATTTTTTATATAATAAATAAATAAAAAGATAAAATAAGAATAACTTTGAAACAATAAGTTTACCTTGGAATTATTAAAATAACTATTATTTTAAAAAATATTTAAAAAACAAATAGAGAAGAATTTAGGTCAAGTTTATTACATTCTTACTGTTAAATTCTATGTTAAATTGATGAGAGGTGAATTACAATAGTAATATTTTTTTATTAAATATATATTGTAATTTTTAATATAAAATTTATGTATTAACCTTTAATTGAATTGTTTGATCATAATAATGTAAAGATTTGAATTGTTACCGCGTTAATTTTTGGTCTTTACCAAATTAATGATTATGAAGAGAAGAAATAAAAATTTTATGATTAATATTATTATTTACATTAAAATTATTTTGAGCTTCCTAATAAGGCTTTTGTTGCTATTTTTCTCATCTACAGTGAATATATCAAATATTACAAGTTGAATATAGATAAGGATACAACTAAAAAGAAAATAGTTAATATTATCCTTAATATTAACTAAAGAGAGTAATTTTTTATAATTTTGATTACGCTGTTTTTCTATTAATTTTAAGTATTTAAAAGTGATACATTTTTATTATTCATTTATATTTGTATGTAGTAAATATTTTCACAAAATTTTACATTTTAATTTTTTAAATTTAACATTAAAAACATATTAATATTTGTTTTTAAACCTTGTCAATAAGTAGTCTAAAATAATGGTTAAAAGAATTAATAAATAAAAAGTGTCGAATAAAACGTAAGATTGTATTAAAACTTATAATGGTAAAATATTAATAGTATTTTTTTATAAAGGGAAAATTTTTTTAATGCCTTTGTAAAATATTCATATTTTTTCATTTCTTCTACAAAGTTTTTTTTAAAATAAAAAAACTAAGATGATATTTTCTATTAAAAATAAAAAAATAATTTATAAAATTAAAGGGTCTCTGAACTATTTAAAAGATTAATTATTAATTTTAAATGAGTAACAAATATGGAATTTAAAGTGTCCTACGACGGTCCTACTTGGCGTTGTAAATTTCACCCTCGCCGTTTCTCTCGCCGAGTCACCTTCACGGCTTCATTATAATTGCACCACGTGTCGATGTTGGACACTTGTCAGGTCTTGAATAACGAACAAAAGTTATGCGTGCACACACGCGACAGGGATTGGAGCGTGGTCAAGATTCGAGAACTCAGCGAAATTTCCTGAATCAGGTTCACGAACAGAGTGCAGTCACGAGTCACGCTCGCTTATTGCTTGGTCCCATTCAACGTTCGAGTCTCTTCCTTTCCCACACTTGGCATCTCCATCTTTTGCCACCAATCACTTCACCATCCTCGTACATTACTTCCATACTTCTTATTGCTTTTCAATTTTAATATTCATTTCAATTCATAGCATTCATTTTAGATCACAAAATCTTTTTCATTAAAAAATTTATTACATTAAAAGCATCAAATTATAATAAATGTTTCACGTCAATTCTTGCTTCTATTAGAGTTTATATACAAATTTGACTTAAGCTTAATTGAACTAATTTACTTGTAAACTTTTTTTTGTATAATTATTTCAAAGCATATTTATAAACATGTCAATTGCAAATAATTTTGTTAAGATGATTTTGAAAGTTAACTCAACGTTTACGAAATTTGAAATCTTTTTTATTATACTCATAACAAAGACAATAGAGTTATTTTTTTATCATTAATATTTTCAACTTCTAATGAAAAAGATACTCTATCTATAATAATTTTAAAAGTGCAATAACATTTTTATTTACATTATTATTGTTTTGTAATTTCCATTTTTGGATTAAATATAAAAATTATTTTTTGTAATGAAGTAAGAAATTGTTTAACTTTAAATTTTAATTTTTAAAAGTTATTTCGAGATATTATTAATTTAATAAAATAAATTTATTTAAAAAGATAAAACATATCTTGTGTTTTATTTTACAAAATTCAAATTTAAGAAATGAGTCAAATGACTAACATCGTAATATAAACTGCGGGTACAAAATTTACATAAGCCACAAACTAATACACATTAATAAATAAAATTAGACAAGTCAAAATTTAGATGTACGACTTAAATTAATTTATATATATTTTAAATTTATGATAATTTTATTGTGTAATTATTATTTTAATATAACAATTTTAATTATTTAGTAATATAACAACTTATCTGATATTATAACAATTAATCACAAATTTTATGGGTACACGTTGAACATATAACGGAAATCGTATACAAACAAATTTAATTATTGAACGAGTCAATTTTTTTTTTCATACAAGTATATTTTATTACAATTATCAAAAATATAATTTTATTTAAAAATTGTTTAATTTTAAATTATAAATTATTATCTTTTCTTTTCTTTTATTTTCTATCTTAAAAAATTTACACCAAGAAAAATGCTAAAAATATATTTGATAGTATAAATTTTTAATTCATTCTTAATTTATAGCCAACAAATTATTAAAAAAATATAAAATTATAAAAAAATTAAATTAATAATAAAACGAATAATAATTACTTATATTATTTAATAAATTTTAATCAATAAATAAAAATATGTTGTTAATATTTTTATTTAAATATATTTTTTAAAAATAAAATAACAACTTTATAATAAAAATAAAAGTAAAAACAAGAACAGAATGAAAATAAACGGTAGCTTAATAACATGTGAATGAGATTTGTTTTTTCTTGAAAGGATGCAGTGGCATGTTGTGATCCTGAAAGAAAAATAGAAACAAGTGTAAACTGAAAGATGGTAAACAAGCAACAGATGAACCAAATTGATTAGCGCATCCCGAAACGAGTTTTTGCTATTTGAGTATTGAGATTGAGAAGGAAGAAGAAGAGGGAGTATTGGCCCTTGAAATTAAGCAATTTTAGAATTATCGAATTAAATAATGACAATAATATATGAAACCCAATCAAATTGTGACACGTGCATAGGCGCTGTCACGGGTTGCTCTATATATAGGAATGGTTCCGCCATCCATGAAGGGCACCTAACAATTCCTTTGAGAGAAGAAGAGAGGGACAGAAGCAATCACTCCTTTCTTCTCTATTCGTTTGTCGTAGTTTGTTTCATTTCATTTGGAAAAATGTTTATCGAGAATTTTAAGGTCGAGAGTCCTAATGTTAAGTACACCGAATCTGAGATTCAGTCTGTGTACAACTATGAAACCACTGAACTTGTTCACGAGAACAGGAATGGCACTTATCAGTGGATTGTAAAACCCAAAACTGTTAAATACGAATTCAAAACCAATACCCATGTGCCCAAATTGGGGTTAGCTCCAAAACCATTCTCCTTTTTCTTTTTCAATTTCATTCAAAATCAAAAGTTTACATTTTTACATTTTCTGATTTGTTTTTTTGTTGGTTAATTATCAGGGTAATGCTTGTGGGATGGGGTGGCAACAACGGCTCAACCCTCACCGGTGGTGTTATTGCTAATCGAGAGTTAGTTTCTATTTCTTACTCACTCTCTTTTGATGTATATGTGAAGGAATCTGAGAGACATACATGCTAACAATTATGGGTCATTTTGCGTTTTGTGATTCTCAGGGGCATTTCATGGGCAACAAAGGACAAAATTCAACAAGCCAATTACTTTGGTTCTCTCACTCAAGCCTCTGCTATTCGAGTGGGGTCTTTCCAAGGAGAGGAAATTTATGCCCCATTCAAGAGCCTGCTTCCAATGGTATTGTTGCATTTGATTCGTTAATTCATTTTTTAGTTACCCTTTCTCAACGCCCTCTTCATTTAATTGATTAATTAATTTTGTTGGACTACGGTATTAATTGATGATTTTGAAACAATATTGTTGGTACTTGAATATGTGAGGTGAGAAGCTGGACCTTATAGTGTTGAAATTTGTTGGCAGGTCAATCCTGACGACATTGTGTTTGGGGGATGGGATATCAGTAACATGAACCTGGCTGATGCCATGGGTAGGGCCAGGGTGTTTGACATCGATTTGCAGAAGCAGTTGAGGCCTTACATGGAATCCATGGTTCCGCTCCCTGGAATCTATGACCCGGATTTCATTGCTGCCAACCAAGGAGACCGTGCCAACAACGTTATCAAGGGAACAAAGATAGAGCAAGTTCAACAAATCATCAAAGATATTAAGTATGTCCTGTAGTTGCTTCTATTATTAAAGGCTTATATGTATATACATGTGCCATATTCAGGTTCTAATTTGCTGAGTCTTTCTTATGTTGACACGAATTCAGGAAGTTTAAGGAAACCACCAAAGTGGACAAGGTTGTTGTTCTGTGGACTGCCAACACAGAGAGGTATAGTAATTTGGTTGTCGGACTTAATGACACCATGGAAAACCTCTTGGCTGCTGTAGACAGAAATGAGGCCGAGATTTCTCCCTCCACTTTGTATGCCATTGCTTGTGTTATGGAAAATGTTCCTTTCATCAATGGAAGCCCTCAGAACACTTTTGTTCCAGGTTTGTTTCGTGCCTCCCCTAATCTCTCCCTTCTCTTTCCTTTATTTATTTTTATGCAAATTTATTGACTTTAATGTGTTGCCACCAGGGCTGATTGATCTTGCCATCAAGAGGAACAGTTTGATTGGTGGAGATGACTTCAAGAGTGGCCAGACCAAAATGAAATCTGTGCTGGTGGATTTCCTTGTGGGGGCTGGTATTAAGGTACTTTGTTTTAAAGTTAATGTCATATCATATGTGTTACTTTTTGTTGGACATCCTATCCTTTTGTTTGCATGTTTATAATTAATGCATTGTGCTAATTTTAATTGGATAAAAAAGAGGAGAAACAAATTGATTTTTTAAGTGTCTTGTTGATGATCGACAGCCAACATCAATTGTGAGTTACAACCATTTGGGAAACAATGATGGAATGAACCTCTCAGCCCCACAAACCTTCCGCTCCAAGGAAATCTCCAAGAGCAACGTTGTTGATGACATGGTCAACAGCAATGCCATTCTTTATGAGCCTGGTGAACATCCAGACCATGTCGTTGTTATTAAGGTAAAATCCATTTCACCCTCTTCACTCTATTTCTTTCTCTTGTAAGGTCTTTATTGTATCTGCTTTGTTGCCTTTGCAGTATGTTCCTTATGTGGGGGATAGCAAGAGAGCCATGGATGAGTACACTTCAGAGATATTCATGGGTGGGAAGAACACAATCGTTTTGCACAACACATGCGAGGATTCCCTATTAGCTGCTCCAATCATCTTGGACTTGGTCCTTCTTGCTGAGCTTAGCACTCGAATCGAGTTTAAAGCTGAAACTGAGGTCTGTATGCAATTGCATAATGGTTTCAGTGCTTGATTGCACTAGTCATTGTTTGTTTTTCACCCTGCTGAGGTCACTATGTTGTGGTGGTTCATGCAGGGAAAGTTTCACTCATTCCATCCGGTTGCTACCATCCTTAGTTATCTGACCAAGGCTCCTTTGGTGAGTTCAATCTATCTTATTCAATGTTGAGCACATATAAACTTGCTTATTTTCATATAGTTTCAAGAAACATATCTGCTGAAGTGTATTATTGAAGTACTATTGCTTTAATTGTGATTGTTAAATCATTATTGTTCAGTGAATTTCCCTTTCTATTTGATCCATTTTTTATCAAGTTGGGAAGGTGACTCATGAGATCATTCTCACAGGTCCCACCGGGTACACCAGTGGTGAATGCATTGTCAAAGCAACGGGCAATGCTGGAAAACATCATGAGAGCTTGTGTTGGATTGGCACCGGAGAATAACATGATTCTCGAGTACAAGTGAAGCAATGGATAGATCATATAGTTGGAGTAATCTAGCTGAATGTTTTTCTGTTAATAATATGTTAGTTGATGTTCTCGCAAGTGTAATCTTTTGATTGCTCTGCTCCTAAGTGCTTAAAGAGCAGGGCATGTTTTGTTTTCTTGGCACATGAATGTATAAATTTGTGGATTTCATCCTCATTTGATGCTTTTTATACTTCTCCATTTTTTAGTAATTTTCAGAGGCAATACCCAATATAATTTACATGGTATAACGTTTAAACAGCACACCTTCATTTAAACTAAAGAGATTTCAACTTCATTCTAGGCATAAAGCCTGCAATCATTTTGAAATATTGCAGCCGCAATTTTCGGTGCTAAAATTTGACATCAGAGATTACAACTTCATCCTCTAAGCATGCTGCGAATATAGGGATGACTGGTTTTTCAGTTAAATTGGCGATGAATAATTCTAAATCCTCCTATTTTTATTCCTATAAACCTTGAACGAAGTATTTAATATATTTTATGTTTTAACGTAGTAATACATAAACATTTTCATTTAATATTTACTTTAATTTAATTTATAAACCCCTCGCATTGCTAATACTTAATTTGACATTTCTCATGTCTTTCTGTTTCTTTCTTATGGTACATTTATATCATTTATCAAATTTCAAATCTATCATTCCTTTCTTTCTCTTTGTTTCTCTCTCAAGATCTACAAAATATTTTCTTTCGGCAAAAATAGAAGAAACAACAATATCGCAATCTGCCATACGAGAGCTACCGCTAAAAAGACTATAGTGAAATGAGCCACGTTGCACCGACAATCAATAATAATTCAAGACACCATTGTTGCTCTTCCCCTGGTTTCAACATCACTATTCATTACCGTAACAAATCCAAAAACATACGAACTTGGGTCATAAATAAATGATCCATAATTCATTTGTTCCTTCTACCGCGAACCAGTCCACAATTTGTCCATGACAAGTGGCCCATTTACATGGACATCTTCTCAAAATTTCATTCTTCATATTTTTGGCTGGCTCTACTCCATTTGTGATGGATAGTGATGGACAATAATGGGTTCTCTACAAGTCGTATCTTCTTACTAAAAGCGAAACAAGTTTAAGGCATCTTTGGACTTGTGTTTGTGGGCCCTCTAAGAAAATGGACTTTACAAAATTACATAACAAGTCCAAAATATTAGCAGGTCCCTAGATTTCGTCCTAAGGCATCCAACCCTATGGATCCAAGTCTTCGTCATCAGTTCACCATCATATGAACTAGTCCAAACATTTACATCCATGTTTTATTTACGGAATAATAATATCAATTTTCTGAAAATGATTTAAATTAGGGAAAATGACTGCATAAAAAAGTTCACTCAATTTAATTTGCTTTTCATTGACAAATTAATAGTGAAAACAGATCATTATTGTAAATTAAAGAAATATTTTTCTCTCTTAAGCCTTTGTTTAATTTATATTTCGTTTACAACGTACGTTGGTTAAAAGTTTCCTTTCACAAACTTCCCTTATGGGTACCTCAATTTTCAAATTCAGCTTTAAAATAATTACATTATACTTGTTGCTTTGGAGCTCAAGATTTCATGGCTTTCTGTTTTTTTTTATCAACATAATTAAGATGGAATCATATTGTTTGAAATCTGGAAGTTAACCTACCCTCAATATGTTATTTAGACATAAGATTTTCCTTTTGTTTCTCTGGTTCATCTATTTGCATCTGAATTCCTTATAAAAAAACGAAGAAAAAAACTATCACTATATTAGATTTATTTTCATTAATATATTTTTGTTTAATAAAAATTAATCTATTAATATATTGTATTTTATACTAGTAATGTGAGACACTAATTACACATAATTTTCTATAATCAACAAATAATTTGATGATAGCGGATAGTATAAGAAATTGACGTGTACTCTAAGTATGCATCGTATCATTATTTTAATGAAATAATAAGATGGCGGTGACATCAGCCACCTTTATAAACCAGAAAAAGGATTGGTTTTGTTTATTACAAGTTACAGGAAAAAATAGTAAGGATGAACGAAAATCAGCAATGAGTATTGACATGATATACGCTTTTATTAGTCAATCACTTTCATTTCTTTATATTTTAACTCTTACCTCACTCTCCACAACCTTGTAAAAAATGCAATGTATGATCAAAGCTTAAATTATATAAATACACTAGCAATGATACTTGACTTGAGTAATGGGTGCGATTGAACTAACAGCTTCTTTAAATATATCAATTGCACCTTGAAAACTGTTACCTTTTCAGGAGATGACCGTGTATTCAGTATTCCCATCAATAAAGCTTCAAAATTGTTAGTGTTAATCACTTGCATAAAACAATTGGCCCAAAGTTTTCCTTTTGCACTTGAATCTGATAAGTGGGAAATCTGAATTGGATTCTCATAAAATCTTATTTCACCTTGTAATATTAGAAGATAGGATAAAGACAGAGGGATCAAGAAACGGTCCAAAGAGGATCTGAACAAATGTTGAAATCTCAGATCTTGCTATCTACATCTGCCCAAGTATTATGAGATTATGTCTGTGATTCCAGCATCAGATGATTGGACCGCAGTTTAAAATCAGATCATGGGGTTTTTGAACTAGGTATCTTCTTGTTGTGTGGGCCTTCAAAAAAGTGAACTCAAAATTGATGAACTAAATTTATTACCACATCTAGTGCGTTTCACAGTCACACCTTTTGCTTTGTTGCCATGTTTTATTTTTTCACTTTGGAGGGAAAATACAAAGAATTAGTGATTGCATATATCAGCATTAAGTACCAGCAATGCATTATTGATGCAGCTAAACTCCATCATGTCAATGAACAAAGCCCGTTTGGGGGGACCAACGGAGCTATATATTATAGAGTCATAGAAAAAATGACCAATTAAAGTGAGAATAAGCGGTCCCATTGTGACAAAAAGAGCTGTGACTTTATTTGTGTTGGAAAGGACCCCTTATGTCCCCACTACCATGGCTTTCACCACAACACCCCAATTTAGTCCGTTTCAGTTATAATGATAATTGGAGACATCTTGTCCTATTCTAAAATTTCAATGTTAAACAAACCTTCATGCCCAACATGAATTCAATTCCATTAGGCTTCAAGGGGTATCTACAATTGCCATCTCCGTCAAGTATTGCATTAATTTCTTTTCCATTTAACTAAACACACTAAAGTGCTTGAATATGGGTCCCTGAACAGTTTTTAGACTATGGTCTATAATACTAGTACTTTACATCGGTGAGAGTGGAACCATTAGGAATAGCAAAGAAGAAATATTAACTATTTGAAGATGGATTTTGGGGTGGTGGACCACAGCGATTCCAAATCGTAATGTCCATATTTCAGGGCTCTAAATAAAAACATCACGGGTAAGAGAGAAATTATGTCAGAAAATAAAAAAGCATTTTCATGACATAAGAGGAAGAGAGTGGCACATGGCATCACCTAACGAAGTTCCCGCATGGATCTCTAAATGGTGATGAGTTGATGTGCCATCAATCTCCTTCATTCATTCTAAAATTTCTTTCTCTAATTGATTTTTCAAATTACTTTTTCAGAGGAAAAAAACAAGGGAAAAAGGAATATGCATGCTTCCGTGCCCCTCAGATCTACCATTCAATGAAAGGGCGATAAAGTAGTGGAATAAATAAATTAAATTTTCAGATTCTTATTTTTTGTTCGGTGGCTCATTTTACCATCGCTTTTAGGAATTGAAAAATATCATTATATACTTACTAGATGCATATACTTGATGAAAAATAAGAAAAGAAATAATGATAGATAATATAATATAAATATCATTTATATTTCGATTTTAACGTGGGTCCAACATTTATTTTAGTATTGTTGCATTTAATTTTGTCAACTGCCTCTCCATTACGCTTATCACTTTGTAGAAGTGATACAAGTTTAGACTGGTGTTAGCGTAGTACGTCATAAAGCTCATAAATTAATATATCAGTGATGTATGAGTTTTAGAGTGAGGGGAAGCAAAAGCATGATATATAATTTTTCCAACTGAAAAGATAATGGCGTATTATGAATAGATTAGTTATTACTATAATAAAAGGGCGTTAAACATAATGTTTTGGTGGAAAGGTTCGCTTCCATCAATATCAGGTACATATGGTAATCAAATTTTTACTACAGAAAAAATAAACTACAAAGCAGCGTTGTTGCTTGTAATATTGATATTGTATTTCTTGGTTGGAGAATTTTGTCACCTCAAGTCATATTAGATTTTGACTAATTCTATTATTACTTCTATTTTCACTGTATTTGTTTATTATGTTTAGAGTTTCATGATGTAGCATTGATATACTAGTATTTGCTTGTGAACATATGCTTCATAGAAACGGAAGCCCTTAATTTGTTATTAAAGGTATACTTAGTCAACGATACTATATATATAAGAATATACTCTTCGCCCTCCGTTTGCGAATCTCACGAAGCAGAATACGTTAATTGTAGTTTTTGTTTTTAACAGTTGAGTAATTAAAACCCAAGTATGCACAGTGAAATATTTGAAGGCATAAAAGAGAAAGATGAAGGAAAGGGCATGGGATAACGTATATAGATAGACATATAGGAAAGTTTAGATTCAAAGATGAAGGTTCAATACGCAATACATCAACCACACTTTTTCACAATTTTTTTTTCTTTGCAGAATTATATCAATAAGAATCGCTAGCGTAGGTGTGGAATTAAGAACCATATACGGAGCACGATAAAAGGGACAAAGGAAGATATGGGATAGGCTTGTCCTAAGTGCACATGATCAACGAGTTAGCTTGCCCTTTTGGTTTCTTAATTTTGTCTTCAAATATATTCATTTTATAACTATGCAAGCCTTCAATTACAAGCAGCCGTTTCGCTTTTAGTGGAAGCCTTGGCGGTGGATGCACGGTGCTCTTCCATGTTAGAGGCCACCTTCCATTTTTCTTTTCTCTGATCTTGTTTCATCTGCTTCTCCCTACACTCCAAACTACAAAATGCCGTGTCCCCCCTGAAATCAATCATTTTATTTCAATCAGGACAACCAAATTACACTAATCAATAACACCGTCTAATTGAAACAAAGCAATACCCCAACGAAATTAACAACTAGAGGATGAATTAAAGAGCAATTTTTCTGAACTATGCAACATTATACCAAATAAGAAGTTATATATATTACACAATTCAATACAATTTAATAAAAAATTATTATCTATTAATATTTTGTTACGGGTCATTTTGCATAGGTTAAAAAATTGATTAACTTGAATACATAACTGTAAAGAACAAAACAATAAATAAATAAGCAACACTTGATAACATACACGCATACCTATACATATAGATGTCTCGACCAGGTGCCAGACGACACTTACAGAGGCCACAAGTCCGAAGGAAGTGAGAAGAGTGTAAGACATGAGAAAGGTTATTGTTTGTTTGGTTAAGGCTGTAAAGATGATTAGTTATGGTTGTGGGGGAAAGGAAACACTCATCATATTCATACCCTTCGGCCTCAAAAACGTTTTTGGTGTGGTGAGGAACCAACAAATGGTGTGGATCTTTGATGTTACCCTCATCGTGATCTTGCTGGAGAAGGGAATCAGACATCACTTCTTCATTGTCATGGGCTTCAACGTTGCTTGTTTGCGTGTCCACGGCCAAACCACCACTCATGCTCGTTGTTCTTTTCATAATCGGTGGCCGAGGACGCTTTCCAAGCAACATGTTCTTGTTCTTGTTGTTGTTGTTCTTGCCCTTCCTCCTCCTTCTCCTTCTCTTGTTTTTTGTCAGCAATAGTTCATGGAGACATAGCAGATAGCAACATCACTCCAAAATCGAAACAAAGAACTGTGCGTGAGAGAGTTTGTAGTTGAGTTCACGCCAACAAGGGTGAGAGTGTGTGTGACTGAGGAGAAAAGGTGGGAACTGAGGCGTGGAAGATAAACCGGACGTGTCAACCCTCACAATGAATCGGAGCCGTTGCTTGCGGGCATCAAGTTCATAAATACATAGCCCACGTCACGCATTTTCTTTCTCTAAAATGAGAGAGAGAGATGTCTTAGGCTTTTTAGCATCCTACTTGTTTCCCAAACTACCAATATATATAAGCTTTATTTGCCAAATGATAAGATATGTTAGGAATATACTAGTTTCTAGTCTTACTACTGATAGTGCCAATAAAGTAATAATCTAATGTTGCCTGCCAACTTCTATGGAAAAAATACCCTTGAAACCTGACTAAATTAATTAAGAATCCTGAAAATATAATAAAAGATGTGATGTTTAGTTTGATATATCTTTCTAATGATTCATTTTTTAATAATATTTTTGTTACTTCATAAAGTGAATATTAAATTAAAATATTTATTTATCATTACATTGAAAATATAAAATATATTAATTACTTTCTTCATTTGATAATTAAGATAATTTATAAGAATAAAAGGTAGAAAGATTTATAATTTTTAAAAGATTTATAATTTTTTCTAATATTTTAAATCAAAAGGTTTGATTTTAATATATTGTTAATATAAACAAATTTACGTTATTTATTAATTAAAATATAAGATAGGTATAATTTTAAATTTATTGCTATAAGAGTTAAGATTTTTGTTATATGATAATCAATGATGGATATTTTTTTAAAAATATTATAAATTTAATTCAATTACACGGATAGTATAGTTTTTTTACCCTATCATTAATTATAAACAGTCTCATAATAAAAAATGCTGATTTTTCTAATAATTAATAATTTTTAATGTTGCATAATAATATTAAGTTAAAATTTTAAATAAATAATAAAAATGAATTATGTGACTGTTTTAAAATTTAATAACTGTTTCAAAAAATATTATAACTATTAATAGTGGTATTTTATGATATTAAATAAATTTAATAATAAAAAATTTTGGGGTGGGTGACAAAACATTGAAACGAACTTAGTTAACAATTTCTTCCACTTCTACACCTAGATCTTGTTTAAGATTTGCCGGTGACACTAATGCAGTTGGATCACACTTACGTTTTGCTTCTTTCTATACCTAAAACTCAGTTAAATTTTGATAAACATGAAAAATGAAAGTTAAATTAATTTGATTGGACATAGGTTGATGTTCTATGAAATCGAGATATTGGCATTCCAATCAAATTGACTCTTTGACTATTCCCTCTTAATACGCCACTCTTATCGAGCCAAATATCTAGATTCTACTTATAAAATCGTATTTTTTTAAAAATATTATTAAATATTATTAGAATATATTATAAAATTTAAATAATATTTAAAATAAAAATATTATCAATATGCCTTTTTATAATTTTAATATAATTTTATCGTATCTTGTTAAAAAATTATTATTATTATCTTAACTAATATCATAGAGACATTAATTAATAAAAACAAGTTTCTATTCATTCTATATAATAACAGTGTTTGATAAATAAATTAAAACGAGACATATTATGATTTATGAGTTATATTTTATATTTATTATATAGAGAACTGATGTGAAATAAAGAAGTGATTTTTTTTATTTTATTATAAAGATAAAATCAAAGAAAATAATGATAAATACATAAGAAATGTAAGATTTAAGTTATATAATCATTTTAATTTCCTCAAATTTTGTACTTCTTTGCTATCTTTTCGGGTAGTATATTAGTATGTGGGTGTTTAGAATTGTTTAGTATAATTGTAGCAGTTTGTAGTCATTTTTTTATAAATAAATCTCCTTATTTTCTTTTACAAAATAAAGAATTACATTTTGAAAGTTTGTGGAATGCATGAATGAGCTATTTCAGAAGAAAAGTTAGTCAACAATCATGCTATTTTCTTGTACCTCTGTATCCAACCATCTTAGGACAAAACAATTGTCTCGACCACGTGTGTGTCTAGGTCTGCCATTTCTTTATACCTAGGCACCCTTTTAGCTTTCTTCCACGTAATCTTTACTTTGAATAGAAATTATGTTTTAAAAACCTAAAGAAAAGATATAAGTAGAGATCCAAGTGGCCAAGAGCCACTAAAGACTAGAGCTTGAAGGAACCAGGTTTTAAAAGATTTCTCGCAGATTCATTTCTATTTCTCCAAAGATGGTTAAATAAATCCCTTTTCTTCTCGTTTCTTGGTTTTTTAGGTGAAATTATGAATCCTTCTAATTAGAGTTTGATGTACCCATTTGAGATAGTGATATAATTGACTTAATTCTGATTCAAGCTTATATTTATTGTTTAACTAATAATAAACATGTACTTAATGCTCTGTATGATGTAACTAATCATACATTAGTTTGTTTAATCCCTCATGAAATTGAAAAAAATTTGTTGAGGTATGTTTCATGATTTATTGATAATATAATTCCTTGGTCATGTAAGAATAGAACCTAGATATGTGGTGTTTTGATTTATTTGTCTTCGTAACCTTATCCTCATGAATTTTGAATCAATGAATTAGTCAAATCTTATGAGTTTAAGAGGATTCATCACCAAAAGTCTGAATATGAGCTATTTTAATAGAAATTAATCTTAAATCACGAATGGATGTTAATTTATCATATGAACATTTGGTAAATTCTAATGACTTTTGGGTCAATTCCTTTGTTTATTGTTTTTTAATTTGATTGTTTTGTTTCTTTGCATACTTCTATTTTTTTTTCATCAAATTTAGAGTCCCCTCAATCTTAACAAAAATCAATTACTTTGTCTTAATAAACAAAAACTTAGTTGAGAACAATATATTACTTTCACTGTATTATTTTCTACGAACCAATGCGCTAATCATTAGAGGTGCAACAAAGGAACTAACATTTTAGTCTTTTAAAAGTGGAATAATTTTAATGTATATTTTTTTCTCACATGTTTATGTAATTTTTTTATGATACATATCTTTTAAACTTTCATATCATATAAATTTATTGTTTTTTCATTTTAAATGTCTTATTTATTAAAAGTTTTTTTTTTCTTAATTTGTTAACTAATGCTCAAATTCCTTCAATCAAAATTAACATAATAAGATATTTTCAAGATAAAACACCTTTTAAAATTTATTTTGTATTCTTAGTAATATATATATAGACACACATACTTGTGTCTTTTAAAATAGAATAATATATAAAAATAAGAAAAGATTCATGTTAATAATGATAAATGCCCGATTACCATTTACAGCGCTGCATCGTGATTTAAAAATGAGGAGAAAGGTGAAATTAACATCCAAAGGCGAAAGAGAAAGATAGAAGATTAAACTTTAAGAAGATTTTCACGGCAATGGATTAACCAATAGATAATAATTAGGGTGCGTTAACGTGAGATTATTATATATACTGTAACCTTTGGATAGTGGCTGCGGTTACCTCCAATCTTCATATTCATAGTTCTTATACAACGTAATAGCAACAAGCAAGAGTTTTAAGGAATTTTACATAATGAGTCATTTTCTTTCTTTTTCATTCCTCAAATTAATCACCGTATATATTCAAGCACTGCTATTGAAGATGCATTTACTTTAATTATACCTTTGCCGGATAAATTATTGGGTAATGATTAATCTCAGATATGTTTTAAATTATTTTTTTCACAGAAGAAGTTATTGTTTAATGAAGTTGAATGAGGGAATGTTTTCTAATTTTCTATTCTATTTCAAGTACATGGTTTTTTTAGGAGAGGGCTTTAAGATATTGGAACTGTGACGTTTCCTTTAGTTAATTTATTACTGTCTTCTAAAAACAATGCACTAAAATAAAATAATAAAAAAATGGTTTGGATAGAATTTAACTACATTTGAAGGTGGCTAGGTTGTTCACTTCAGGGAAATAAAGAGACACTGTTTTACCATTTATTTATTTTAAACTTAAAAAAATTGATCGTCTTAAAACTTGACTTTAAAAATATTCGAATAATCTATACACTTTTTTTCACAATCATAATTAGAGGAAACCTAAGCATTATTATTATTATTATTTTTGTGTAAAAAATATCTCTCGTTTAGTAGTTGTAGATTAATTCTTTTAAAGCATAATAATATTACAATAAATCTTATTATTTTAATAAAATATTTTTTTATATATACAGTCCTCTATCAAAATATTTAAAGACATAATTGTTTACAACTTTATCAAAATATTTTAATTATTTTTTCTTTTTTTCTTCTATTTTTTAACATTTTATTTCCTCTTTTTTATTTTTAAATTTTCAAACAAAACTTGAATAAATTTGTATTGTTATTGATATTAACAATCCCTAATTCAGGGTTAAATGTTTCAATATGAAAAAAGAATTTTTAAGGGGCAGGGTGAAGTGGTGAAGAACGATGTAGAGGCATGAAGAGAGGTTGATGAGTTAATTTTGTATAGATAAAAAGGAGGTTGATGATGAATATTGATGATGGTGTTGGTGTGGGAAGAGAAAAAGAACGTAGGCAAAGAATGAAGAGTGGTGAGCAAAGAATGAGGACAAAATAGAGCTCCGAGCAACATGGCAATCATTGAGGGAATGGCTTATAACAACACAACAAAGCTTAATCATCTCACAACCAAACCACAATTCACACATTTACCCAATGCTTCCCATCTACTCATTCATACTTTATTCAAAATGATTTCTTTTCATACTATTCATTTTTTATGTTCTTTTTATTGTAAATAATATTTTTTGTGTATATATATACAATAGAAATTTTTTAAATACTCAACGATTATACAAAAACTCGATCATACAACTCTTTTTTAAACATATGTTGTTGCGATTTTTATTCTCCTAATTCCATAACACCACTCATATCTAAATACAATATCGAGTATTCGATTAATTTGAGTGCAGTTAAATAATATTATTATGAATAATACATTTTTATTCTTCTAAATTTTAACATAAATTTATAAATTTTTAGTTAAACTATGATGAGAATATAATTGTATTTTAAAGAATTTAAATTGGAAGTTTCTTGCTAAACAAAAATAATTCATATCATTTTATTTTAAGCTACGTTCAGGAGAGAGAAAGGAAAAAAGACAAGTTTTTTAAAAATTTTAATATATATTTTTTAATTATATGTATTTTTTTAAAAATTTTAA